AAACAAGGGTGCTGAAACACACCAACACCATGTTTGATTCAAACGCCCAAACACAACAGCCTAGTGCATGTGGAAGACATGTAGAATCAGTTGCTTCACTGCATGTTCCAACATGTACGTTTAAAGTGCCCGTTACGCACACTAAAGGTCGCATTTACCTTAGAGCTATTTTATAAATGACCTCACCACGTTATTTCGGCCTCATAGCCTAGAATAAAATTGTATTTGATAGAACACATGTCACGTGGTGAACAATACAGCAATATTTCTATTTCCATTTACATCTCAATAGAAATACATTATTAAAGAAAAATTGCAAGTGCTCGAGTAGTATGTATATACTACTGCTCGTAAATTATCCTCATTATTTGTATTAAATATATTACACAAGAGTTTCACTGAATAGTGCTAAACATAAGATAGGCTTGGGAGACATCTTAAAGTTTATATATGACTATCAAATTTTAGGGTGTTGCCATACTGTTGGTTGTAGTATAAATAAAGCTAAAGATTCTGAAATGCTACTTTCACAAACTTCAAGATTACATAAATGGCTCGTAAGAGGGTGTTTCTGAATTGGCAAAACAATTGACAAGACGTAATAAAGTGTACATTTTCAATTACCTGGACTCTCTCCCAACCCCAAACACCTGAAACACAGGGAAAGGAAACACAGACTCTTTAGGGTTCAGCTTACGAAGCTAAGCCACAGGTACATACTTTTCCCAGCTTGCTGTGCTAAGGTGCTTCTTGTCAGATTCCCACGAGAGTTTAGGTGTGAAGAAAACACCAAGATATTTATGTGCCGAAACAGTCGCAAGAGGTAGGGTGGTGGGGTAGCCTTGTGATTAAAACGTTCTCTCGTCACGCTGAAGTCCCTGGTTCGATTCCCCACATGGGAACAATGTGTGAAGCCCATGTCTGGTGTTCCCCGTCGTGATATTGCTATTGTATTGCTAAATGCGGCGCGAGTCTCAAGAGGAACACCATTTTATTGCATCTGTCCTTTTTGTCAGTTATACTATCCAAAAAAGAAACGCATAGGAGTTTTGTATGTTTTTAAATCTATCAATTACCTATTGTGTTCACACAATCGTCAAAATGTAACACAAGTGTTGATAACATGATTTTACACAATTGCACAAGTGAAAAATCGACTTTACCTGAAAATGTCTATTTTTAATGAGATTTCTTACAAGGATTAAAACAAAAATCACCACAACACAACACAACAGAAATCACCCTGCAGTTGAAATTGTGCAGCAAGGAGCATGCACTGTCTGGCTATAAAAATCCAGATTGCTTTCGGAAATCGGCATTCGTTCAGAAGGATTTTCAAGGTCAGATTACTACGCCACGTATTGACGCTGCGACACTGTACATCGTCATTGAAAGAATGCACGCTGGAGATTACCAATATTCTGTTGCCAGGTGCCTGAGCACGATATCACAGCTTGCAGCTCGTTACAACCAAACAGGTATGACAAATGACCGTCTCCGTACAGGCAGACCTAGAGTCAGCACTGCAGCTCAAGATCGGTACATCCGGGTATTACATTTGCGTCATCGTACTGCCACGGGTGAGAGCAAAGCAGCCAGGGTGCCTGGGCTTTGGAGGATATCCGGTCAAACTGTACGGAACAGACTGAGGGAGATTGGACTGAGAGCCAGGAGACCCGACGTCGGGACCGTGCTACGTCGTCATTCTAGCGCTCAACGTCCCCGTTATGTAAAATTATCCACTTGGTTGTATAGACATTTCCGTCTCTAAACTGAAGTAAAAATTCATATACTAAAGTCTAATTGTGGACGCATTATACGTGTTTGAAAATACAACATTTTCGCAACAGATTTCTTGGTTATGCGTTTCTTTTTTTTAATAGTATATATCATCATAATTATCATAATGTTTGTCTGTGTGATTCTTTTAATCCTTCGGGCGCATAGATTTAAGATATGTAGTGCTACGATCAAAGCCGAACATTACGTGCAATATCCATTAAGATGGAGAGTACATATATGTACTCTTAGGTCATATTTTACGAAACATGAGCCTCTGGTATCAGTAAAGTGCTCGATATGCTTTTGCTGTAATGTCAAAAATCAATTGATTTCAATGAGAAGGGGTCGTTCTTTCGTTTATGAAAAATCAATTGATGTCGTTGTTGCTAAGCAAATATGTGGCCTCCTCAACTAACAACTGCTCTAAGAGGGCTAGGTATTGGTATGCGGAATGCTGTCACGTTACTGAGGTCTATTGGAAGGAACGTTGGTTGTCTATCGGGAACTGAAAATACAGCCCTTCTCAGAAACACAAGATTTCATCATGCCAAGTGGCGTGTTAAAACAGTGTGACTTCCACATCGTCATTTGACCAGCGGAACATTAGACAACCTACCAGACGTCCGCGTGTTATGCCCAGAGAAGAAAGCAACACGATCAGTGAGGTGTCAAGCTCAACATCACTGGTATTTGAGATCAGGGGGAAGATTCACCTGTTGATGACGGACGGCCGAGTTTGCGTTTGACGTTGCAAAAACACTGCATATGCATGACGAAATATCGTGGCGGAGATTCAAACTTATTGATTGATTTGGGGTGGCTCTTATGCTAGGGTTACATTATGTTCCCTTCGGCCACGGCAGTCCCGTTTCGCCGAAACGGGGACAAAACGGGATGGACGTAAGACAACATGGGGGAACTGAATAAACAAACGTGATAGTCGGTGATTGCCGTGGATGCCGTGCCAGATTTTTAAACTGTTCATCTCACGGTCCTTTCAAGTCTTCGGCCACGTTTGTTTGGCGTTTTGTCAAAATTGTTTCATCTTTGTGGCCCATTTTGTCCCGGTTTTCATGGCAAGCAAGATAGTATGGTAGCCGATTCGTCCCGTTCTATCACGATGCATCCAGGCGTGTGACGGTTTAAAGAGCAGGCGAGATACGGCACGTTGCGTTCTCTGGCAATTCCTCTCTGCAGCTGATGCTGGCCTTCTTGCTGACGCCAGGACTCGATGTATGCCCCCAGCAAACATACAAACACAAAATCTTCTTCATCTTGGGGGTTCATGCTGCTCTAGTTTGTCAGGATACAATATGGCTGCTATTGCTTGGGATGCCTTAGTTTTATAACGTGGGCACAAACATGGTCCAAAGCTGGCCGGCGTCCACGCTTCAGCCGTATAAAGTCTTGGCAGAACGCGCAACACGTGTCAAAACCTTGATCACAATGTAAAAAAACGTGAGGGAATCCATCGGAACGCGACAGGCAGGGAGGAAACGTAATGACATCCGTAGTGGACTGTCGGTTGAACTGTAGTGCGCCTTTGAGCTTCCGAGACTCAGCAGCCAGTTTTTCGCAACAGCCCATCACATATACTGGGATTGACCGTGAAAAAACTTAGCAGGACCTAACAAAACTTGACTTTTGATGAATAAAATGGCCAAGATGCACATGTATTGAATATGAAGACACTGGCAAAGATATATAAGTCAAATACAGAGGGACCATGAGAAACCAGCCACACTATGATTAATTCTTATATAGTCTCGTAGCTCACCTATTCAAATTGTGACATAAATGCTCAATATGTATTCTGAATACACCGTTATCTATGCATTAATGTTATCTGAACGGATTGAATGGGCCACAATCTGTTACGTACCAAAATCGATAGTTTCCACTTTCTTAAATGTGATTTAACAGATGTTTGTTGACCATAGTCCACATTCATAGATGTGACTTTATCGAGATATACTCTCATCAGAAAGATACGCACAAGTCATCAAGATACAAACACAGCAACTACAATGCCTGTGAGATGGCTCTAAACGGCATTGACGAGGACAGTAATATTAGATACATCAAATAATTAATTGTTAACACTATTAATTTTTCACGTTAATTATATAATTATTGCAACGAAAATATTTACTTACTAGACATGGGGTAAGCATAACAAGCTCAATGTATGAATCAAACCAGCTGTATCCATTCTGAATAGATATCGTCGGAAACGTTCCTTGTATGCATATATTTTTCATTCCTAAATTTACGACTTGACTCCATATAGCCGCCACATTGCTTACATACAAAGTGATAATCCATGACAGGTGACACATACGAAGAAACATGGTTTCAGTACATCAACTATCTTTGCAATAAAGTGAATGTCTGAATTGGTCTCACAGAAGTACCTACGGTGTGTCAGCGTTCATGTGGGAGGAAAGCCCGAGGTGGCGCGAGACGTTTTTCCTCTTCAGTAAAAGCACATCAACCATGAAATATCTTGAACCGGCACATAAAGTGAATGTTCTGAATTGGTCTGCAGACTAGCCAAGCCGCATCACCTTTCGGTAATAAAGTACCTAATACAAAGGCGGTGTCAGCGTTTATTGTCCTCCTGGGAGGTAAAGCTTCGAGCTCAACCACAGCGTAGACGTTATTATTTTTCCTCTTCGATGAAACCAAAAGTTGCAAATCCCCTGCACCCTAGTATGGTGATCTACCTTCAGTTGTTTGTGATCTTTGTGATTTTGTACTCATCACCTTAATACCAAATTGCTTTGTGTAAAGGACGCCCTCTTAAACATTGCACTAAGGTTACCTTAGTGAACGATGAACTTACCACATGCAGACAAAGTTAGATGTGTTCTGTACATGTGTAAATCAGTATCGACAGACACTGCTCTATCTATAGGTAGTGGGACGTCAAGTGCGTCCTTGCACATGCAGAAAGAAGTGTTATCCAAACTGTTGTCAATTTCGTCTGTCGTGCTGGTCACAAAAAGGGGATATAGACAGACAGATCAATTCAAACCATTGTAGCCCATAGTTCTCTGTCTAGAATTATGGACAAAGCAGATGTTGAAAGCCACGTAACTGAACAACCATGTGACTGAAATCAGATGATGTAACTACAACGACCCACGTGGACAGGTAACAACAGTATAAATGAGGTCCCGGGTAGATCCGTGTTAGCAGCTGATAGAAGAGTCAAGATGATGTTCTCCTCCAACTGCTTCCTGTGTCTGTTCCTGGTCGTCCTCGCCACACAAGTAACACTCGCTATAATAGCTGTCCCTGCCACAGAAGCACCTCCCCCTGCCACACAAGCACCTCCCCCTCTAATACCTCCGTCGTCTGCATCGTGTCCACAAGCAGGTCTTCTGTTGGAGAAGCTTGTGAACCTCAGCACAGCACTTAGTAACATTAACAACAGTTTAATTTCTGTCTTCGACCTCATCGACGAGCAATGTCCATGCCTGGGTAAGTGACAAACTATATTATGTGTTACTATGAGATTATTTATAGACATGCAATATGTCGGGATGTATGTTAAAATGTTCGCATTTACATCTGTCCCATTTCATGGCTTCGCTAAAATTAAGTAGTTTCAAACAGATACCAGTTTGACCTGCATTGAATGGACACAATCCTATAATAATTCAGTACAGTGCAACAAGAAAATATTGGCCCAGTGGTGCGATATGTGTTGTTTAATCGAAGAGGCGGAATGGGGTTAATTTCCGACTGCAGCACCGCTTGTGGCAATGGTGTTGTAGGGATACGTGTGTTACGAAACTCCCTTTGTTAGACAAACACTAAATGATCTTGAATTTGAAATTTGCAAACAAGGGAACTGATGCCATGGAATTATATTGTTGTTTGAATAATATGCATATATGATGTGTGAACATCACTGGATTAACATTTGACTTGGCTTTGATTGTGTGAAGCCAGTAGTCACTGTGGTGTTTAAATCTATATGGGTTTGTATGCTCTTGCTCTTAATCACTTAATTGCCTGTACAGACCACCGTCGTATAGCAGGAATATTGTCGGGTTTGCGGTGTTAAACAAGAAACAAACAATTCTATGCAAACCTTTTACAGAACTGCATAAATACTACCTCCTTAATATCAGGTATGTAATGCGGATGTCAAGAAAACACTGATCCCTTTCCTGGTTGGAAAGAACGATTGATTACTATTTGGCTTTCTTTGAAGAAAAGACAAATATTTTTTTGCTTTAATACCATAAGTGTTTGGAGATTATACAACATCTCACATCTAAGTGCCAGAACAGGAAATGGATTGATCTTTCCATCCAGAGTAGAATTGTTCTGCATTATTCTGAATGTGAAATCGAAAGCCACCTTTTCAAAATATACGAAAAACTATGGAATCCTGTAAGGGACATTGTCGCGTTGCCGCATTGTCGCGTTTTCGCCCTCTCAAATACAAGCAAAATGAGTCAAAAACACGATGTCGCGTGTCGCGTTTTGAATAATATTTTTTTATTCCTCCAAAGGGCGACAGGCGACAAAGCGACAATTTTCAAGGTCAAAATATGTCGCGTTGTCGCATTGTCGCCCTAAGTAAGATGTGTAAAAACAGCCTAAAAATTTACTGAAACGCAACACGCGACAATACGACAGCGCGACATTTGATCAAAATGTCGCGTTGTCGCATTGTCGCGCTTTGTTAAAATATTGAGTATAGTATGTATTATAACATATGACTAAAACGCGACACGCGACAATGCGACAAAATATATGCGTTGTCGCCCTTTTCGATTACCGGTGCGCATGTGTAGAAAGTCAATAAGTCTACGCATGTGCAGAAAATGTTATACTCTATTTCAGACTTCACTGGTCTTTTGTTACCTCCAATGGTTTTTACGATGAATGTTGCGTGTCGCGTTTTAGTTTATTTTGCCTCATTTTACTTGTTTTTGAGACGGCAATGTCCTTTCTCGGATTCCATAAAAAACAGGTCCTGTAGAATACTGGACCAGGTTGTTGCAAATTCTGTTAGCAGGACGGCTCAGGAAGTCAATGTTGCCTACCTTATTTATTATCAGGTGGTTAAGGCTAGTCTTGAAGGCTCATGAACGGATTCCCACATCTTACAGGCAAACGTTTAGCTGATATTACTTGTGTTGTGTTTGCTAATTCACAGCGTTAGTGATTCCAGACAGGAATTCGCAGGGCCATAAACCGGGAAAGGATAGTTCACCCACACCTAGCCATCGATTGAATATTTTCTGACTTGGTGCCGACACGTCATGTCCTGCTCCAGATGATTCCACAGATACTGCCCCTAAATATTGTCTGAAACCGCTGCATATGCTTTCCGTGTCTTTGGTTTGTTGTTTAACACTGCACTCAGCAATATTACAGCTAGATGGCTATATTTCCAAGCTAATTAAACATAACTTGGCACAGTTTTATTCTTGTTTCAGATGCTTCCCCCGAGTGCTTCGAAACAAGAGTCTCAAACTTTAGAACTGCTTTGGAAGAGCTTATTGTTGATGCAGACAATGTCACTCTCAGCGCCCCAACAGACTGCCCAGATCGTAAGTTCATATAATCGAGTGAAATGATAATATTGGAATGATGAAAAAGCTACAGTGTTGATTATTAGAAATTTGCCTGAAGAGAACCTTGTTATGGACCAGTTTATGTCTTGGCAGGAACGATTCAGCTAGAAATAGCTACTATGTGGTTTGTATGGTATTTCTACACTTCAAATGTGTTCCAACCGCCAGCAGATCATTTCAACCTCCAACTCACGAGATACATTGCTATCTTGAAATCTGTACTTACGAACCTTTATGTTTAAGATGGGGTGCAGTTAGATCGTAGACTGCCCTGTTGACTTTACATTGATGCAATGTTCCTCAAGGTACCGGAGCAGTGTTCGTGGCTACTTGTGATGGAACTGATGTTGCCGTGGTGGATCCCAATGGTGTCATCCAGAACGGCTTCAATACCGATACCAATGTAACTGGTTGGGCTGTTTACATCAACGGTGATACCTATGGATTTGACTACTTCAGGAACGGTCCATTTGAAGTTCGATGTCGACTGACACCGGATTCAGTTGAAATCGTATTAGGCGATGACAATGGTATGTAAATGATACCTTTGTTCATATATTGCAACATCTTTTGTCCAAGTGTAAGTTGAATAATGTATTATTTACAAGAGTAAAAATGGACTGTCAGGACACCATCAACTATCATGTTGGGCCGGGTTCAATATTGCAATACACTATCAATGATGGACAATTCATCATGTTGTGATGGGCCGGGTTCAACATATCAATGTAGTATCATGGAATGACTAGCTGCCTTGCCGGGGTGGGCCGTGTTCAACATATCAATATACTATCATGGAATGATGGGTGGGTAATGTTCAACATATCTATATACTATCATGGAAGCTGCCTTGCCGGGGTGGGTAAGTGTTCAACATATCTATATACTATCATGGAATGACTAGCTGCCTTGGGGTGGGCCGTGTTCAACATATCAATATACTATCATGGAATGACTAGCTGCCTTGCCGGGGTGGGCCGTGTTCAACATATCAATATACTATCATGGAATGACTAGCTGCCTTGCCGGGGTGGGCCGTGTTCAACATATCTATATACTATCATGGAATGACTAGCTGCCTTGCTGGGGTGGGCCGTGTTCAACATATCAATATACTATCATGGAATGACTAGCTGCCTTGCCTGGGTGGGCCGTGTTCAACATATCAATATACTATCATGGAATGACTAGCTGCCTTGCCGGGGTGGGCCGTGTTCAACATATCAATGTAGTATCATGGAATGACTAGCTGCCTTTGGGGTGGGCCGTGTTCAACATATCAATATACTATCATGGAATGACTAGCTGCCTTGGGGTGGGCCGTGTTCAACATATCAATATACTATCATGGAATGACTAGCTGCCTTGCCGGGGTGGGCCGTGTTCAACATATCAATATAGTATCATGGAATGACTAGCTGCCTTGCCGGGGTGGGCCGTGTTCAACATATCAATATACTATCATGGAATGACTAGCTGCCTTGCTGGGGTGGGCCGTGTTCAACATATCAATATACTATCATGGAATGACTAGCTGCCCTGCCGGGGTGGGCCGTGTTCAACATATCAATATACTATCATGGAATGACTAGCTGCCTTGCCGGGTGGGCCGTGTTCAACATATCAATATACTATCATGGAATGACTAGCTGCCTTGGGGTGGGCCGTGTTCAACATATCTATATACTATCATGGAATGACTAGCTGCCTTGGGGTGGGCCGTGTTCAACATATCAATATACTATCATCATGGAATGACTAGCTGCCTTGATGGGGTGGGCCGTGTTCAACATATCTATATACTATCATGGAATGACTAGCTGCTTTTGGGGTGGGTAATGTTCAACATATCTATATACTATCATGGAATGACTAGCTGCCTTGCTGGGGTGGGCCGTGTTCAACATATCAATATACTATCATGGAATCAACTTTGCCTTGCTGGGGTGGGCCGTGTTCAACATAGTACTATCATGGAATGACTAGCTGCCTTGTTGGGGTGGGCCGTGTTCTGCATATTATATACTATCATGGAATGATAGCTGCTGCATATTGGAACTACATGGTGTTCAACATGTAATAGACAAAGGAAACAACATAATTGTCATAATTGGTTAATTGTAAGCTGATGAAGCCAGTGAGTACACAAGGATAGTGAATGGAAGCCAAAGATGTGTAAATACAGGAGTGGTACAATAAAGGGGGATGTTTATACAATAGGTGGGATGTTATACAATAGATTGGGCTTGGTGGAGGACTGGATCATAAGCTGATGGAATGAAGTATCCTTGGTCACGGTTGATGGTGGGCTTATGGCGTTTGATGTGAATGGCTTCGGTGAGCTTGCGTTTAGTGAAGTCCGTTTGGTTGTTGGCGAGAATGGTGAAGTCGGACCACTCTATTTGATGATTGGGGTTTGCTTTGATGTGGTGAGAGATAGCTGATTTGGTGTCGGAGTTAGCAACAGAGGTGCGATGTTCTTTGACTCGGGTGTTGATGGATCAATATACTATCATCGAATGACTAGCTGCCTTGGGGTGGGCCGTATTCAACACATCCATATACTATCATGGAATGAATAGCTGCCTTGAGATGGGCAGTGTTCAACATGTCTATATGCTATCATGGAATGACTAGCTGCCTTGGGGTGGGCCGTGTTCAACATATTAATATACTATCATGGAATGACTAGCTGCCTTGGGGTGGGCCGTGTTCAACATATTAATATACGATCATTGAATGACTAGCTGCCTTGGGGTGGGTAATGTTCAGCATATCTATATACTATAATGGAATGACTAGCTGCCTTGCCGGGGTGGGCCGTGTTCAACATATCACTGTAGCATCATGGAATGGCTAGCTGCCTTGGGATAGGCCGTGTTCAACATATCCATATACCGGTATTATCATGGAATGACTAGCTGCCTTGAGATGGGCCGTGTTCAACATATGTATATACTATCATGGAATGACTAGCTGCCTTGCTCGGGTGGGCCGTATTCAACATATCACTATACTGTCATGGAATGACTAGCTGCCTTGCGGTGGGCCGTGTTCAACATATCAATATACTATCATGGAATGACTAGCTGCCTTGGGGTGGGCCGTATTCAACACATCCATATACTATCATGGAATGAATAGCTGCCTTGAGATGGGCAGTGTTCAACATGTCTATATGCTATCATGGAATGACTAGCTGCCTTGGGGTGGGCCGTGTTCAACATATTAATATACTATCATGGAATGACTAGCTGCCTTGGGGTGGGCCGTGTTCAACATATTAATATACGATCATTGAATGACTAGCTGCCTTGGGGTGGGTAATGTTCAGCATATCTATATACTATAATGGAATGACTAGCTGCCTTGCCGGGGTGAGCCGTGTTCAACATATCACTGTAGCATCATGGAATGGCTAGCTGCCTTGGGATAGGCCGTGTTCAACATATCCATATACCGGTATTATCATGGAATGACTAGCTGCCTTGAGATGGGCCGTGTTCAACATATGTATATACTATCATGGAATGACTAGCTGCCTTGCTCGGGTGGGCCGTGTTCAACATATCACTATACTGTCATGGAATGACTAGCTGCCTTGCGGTGGGCCGTGTTCAACATATCAATATACTATCATGGAATGACTAGCTGCCTTGGGGTGGGCCGTGTTCAACATATCAATATACTATCATGGAATGACTAGCTGCCTTGAGGTGGGCCGTATTCAACACATTCATATACTATCATGGAATGACTAGCTGCCTTGGGGTGGGCCGTGTTCAACATATCAATATACATGTTTGAGTGGCATTTTAGAAGTTGATATGTACAATATGGAACAAGTTTTTATGGATAACAACTTCTTTATTTCGTGAGTGCGACGTTTCAATACAGATTCTTGTACCGTTGTCAAGCAAGAGTGATACATGAAGTGGAGGAGCTGCATATTTATACTGTGTATAGCAATGGAACTACATACATTGTAATAGACAAAGGAAACAACATAATTGTCATAATTGGTTAAGCAGTAAGCTGATGAAGCCAGTGAGTACACAAGGGATAGTGAATGGAAGCCAAAGATGTGTAAATACAGGAGTGGTACAATAAAGGGGGATGTTTATACAATAGGTGGGATGTTATACAATAGATTGGGCTTGGTGGAGGACTGGATCATAAGCTGATGGAATGAAGTATCCTTGGTCACGGTTGATGGTGGGCTTATGGCGTTTGATGTGAATGGCTTCGGTGAGCTTGCGTTTAGTGAAGTCCGTTTGGTTGTTGGCGAGAATGGTGAAGTCGGACCACTCTATTTGATGATTGGGGTTTGCTTTGATGTGGTGAGAGATAGCTGATTTGGTGTCGGAGTTAGCAACAGAGGTGCGATGTTCTTTGACTCGGGTGTTGATGGATCAATATACTATCATCGAATGACTAGCTGCCTTGGGGTGGGCCGTATTCAACACATCCATATACTATCATGGAATGAATAGCTGCCTTGAGATGGGCAGTGTTCAACATGTCTATATGCTATCATGGAATGACTAGCTGCCTTGGGGTGGGCCGTGTTCAACATATTAATATACTATCATGGAATGACTAGCTGCCTTGGGGTGGGCCGTGTTCAACATATTAATATACGATCATTGAATGACTAGCTGCCTTGGGGTGGGTAATGTTCAGCATATCTATATACTATAATGGAATGACTAGCTGCCTTGCCGGGGTGGGCCGTGTTCAACATATCACTGTAGCATCATGGAATGGCTAGCTGCCTTGGGATAGGCCGTGTTCAACATATCCATATACCGGTATTATCATGGAATGACTAGCTGCCTTGAGATGGGCCGTGTTCAACATATGTATATACTATCATGGAATGACTAGCTGCCTTGCTCGGGTGGGCCGTATTCAACATATCACTATACTGTCATGGAATGACTAGCTGCCTTGCGGTGGGCCGTGTTCAACATATCAATATACTATCATGGAATGACTAGCTGCCTTGGGGTGGGCCGTATTCAACACATCCATATACTATCATGGAATGAATAGCTGCCTTGAGATGTAAGCAGTGTTCAACATGTCTATATGCTATCATGGAATGACTAGCTGCCTTGGGGTGGGCCGTGTTCAACATATTAATATACTATCATGGAATGACTAGCTGCCTTGGGGTGGGCCGTGTTCAACATATTAATATACGATCATTGAATGACTAGCTGCCTTGGGGTGGGTAATGTTCAGCATATCTATATACTATAATGGAATGACTAGCTGCCTTGCCGGGGTGAGCCGTGTTCAACATATCACTGTAGCATCATGGAATGGCTAGCTGCCTTGGGATAGGCCGTGTTCAACATATCCATATACCGGTATTATCATGGAATGACTAGCTGCCTTGAGATGGGCCGTGTTCAACATATGTATATACTATCATGGAATGACTAGCTGCCTTGCTCGGGTGGGCCGTGTTCAACATATCACTATACTGTCATGGAATGACTAGCTGCCTTGCGGTGGGCCGTGTTCAACATATCAATATACTATCATGGAATGACTAGCTGCCTTGGGGTGGGCCGTGTTCAACATATCAATATACTATCATGGAATGACTAGCTGCCTTGAGGTGGGCCGTATTCAACACATTCATATACTATCATGGAATGACTAGCTGCCTTGAGATGGGCAGTGTCCAACATATCTATATACTATCATGGAATGACTAGCTGCCTTGGGGTGGGCCGTGTTCAACATATCAATATACTATCATGGAATGACTAGCTGCCTTACTGGGTTGGGCCGTGTTCAACATATCTATATACTCTCATGGAATGACTAGCTGCCTTGGGGTGGGTAATGTTCAGGTTATCTATATACTATCATGGAATGACTAGCTGCCTTTGGGTGGGCCGTGTTCAACAATATATTAATATACTATCATTGAATGACTAGCTGCCTTGGGGTGGGTATGTTCCGCATATCTATATACTATCATGGAATGACTAGCTGCCTTGCCGGGGTGGGCCGTGTTCAACATATCACTGTAGTATCATAGAATGGCTAGCTGCCTTGGGATGGGCCGTGTTCAACATATCCATATACTATCATGGAATGACTAGCTGCCTTGGGGTGGGCCGTGTTCAACATATCAATATACTATCATGGAATGACTAGCTGCCTTGAGGTGGGCCGTATTCAACACATTCATATACTATCATGGAATGACTAGCTGCCTTGAGATGGGCAGTGTCCAACATATCTATATACTATCATGGAATGACTAGCTGCCTTGGGGTGGGCCGTGTTCAACATATCAATATACTATCATGGAATGACTAGCTGCCTTACTAGGTTGGGCCGTGTTCAACATATCTATATACTCTCATGGAATGACTAGCTGCCTTGGGGTGGGTAATGTTCAGGTTATCTATATACTGTCATGGAATGACTAGCTGCCTTGGGGTGGGCCGTGTTCAACATATTAATATACTATCATTGAATGACTAGCTGCCTTGGGGTGGGTATGTTCCGCATATCTATATACTATCATGGAATGACTAGCTGCCTTGCCGGGGTGGGCCGTGTTCAACATATCACTGTAGTATCATAGAATGGCTAGCTGCCTTGGGATGGGCCGTGTTCAACATATCCATATACTATCATGGAATGACTAGCTGCCTTGCTGGGATGGGCCGTGTTCAACATATGTATATACTATCATGGAACGACTAGCTGCCTTACTGGGTTGGGTTATGTTGAGCATATCTATATACTAGCATGGAATGACTAGCTGCCTTGCTGGGTTGGGCCGTGTTGAACATGTCTACTAATATGGAACGAGAACTCATGATATTGTGGTGGACCGTGTTCAAAATATCAATATAGTATCATGGAATGACTAGCTGCCTTGTCGGGGTGGGCCGTGTTCAACATATCAATATACTATCATGGAATGACTAGCTGCCTTGGGGTGGGCCGTGTTCAACATATCACATATACTATCATGGAATGACTAGCTGCCTTGGGGTGGGTAATGTTCAGCATATCTATATACTATCATGGAATGACTCGCTGCCTTGGGGTGGGTAATGTTCAACATATCTATATACCATCATGGAATGACTAGCTGCCTTACTGGGGTGGGTAATGTTGAGCATATCGATAAACCATCATGGAATGACTAGCTGCCTTGCTGGGTTGGGCCGTGTTCAACATGTGTACTAATATGGAACGAGAACTCATGATATTGTGGTGGGCCGTGTTCAACATATCCATATACTACCATGGAATGACTAGCTGCCTTGCTGGAGTGGGTAATGTTCAACATATCAATGTACTATCAGGGAACGGCTACTTTTCTTGATGGTGTGGGCCGTGTTCAGCATATTACTATACTAAATATAGTAAATAACATGATGGAATTGGGTGTTGGGGTAGGTGGGATTATGTTTTGAATGAGTGAGTGAGTGAATTAATATTTATCGTCACATCGGCAATATTTAAGCCATATCGTGACGAGAACAATTAATAATTGTATTATAGATCAATAAAATTAGAAATTAAAAGCCTGTTGACGAAGAACAATAAAGATACTAGTGTATCACAGATATTCAATTAAAACTAGCAATTAAATCAAAAACATTTAAACTAGAAATGACAAGACAATGTAAAAACAGGCTATAGATTACCAACAACTGAAGGTAGATCACCATACTAGGGACCATGGGGAATGTTTTGAATGATTTGACATGGATGAACAGTTATTCCACAACGTTTCGGGTTTGTTGTTTTCAGATGATCCATTGACATCGACAGCAGTGGGAACTGGCATTATCTACGATCCTGACACAGGGAATGATTATGTAGCCATTTCATTCGACAATGCAACTCTCAATGGCATCTATTGCTTCAACAGGACCGTATTTCCACGTATTACCTTGCTCTTCGGTTTTGACGGCGTCCCCGGAAGAATTGAGGTTCATAACGGGTGTGTACACAGATAGACAGTAGAAATACCAGTCCTAGGACAGTCCTTTTCTGAAATGAAATAGGATATGTTTACTATGTACAACTATATCAGGATGATAATGATGTAATTGAGGTGTTGCGTAATCGGAAGACATTGTATTATGAACAGCTTTCCATTATACTCAAGTTGACAATAGACTCCGATGATCGTGGAAGGGTTTTCTTTTCAGTGAGATTGTTCAAGCCTTAAGCCTTATGTGCTGACAGTTTTTTGTATTGTGTAACTTTGTATGAGGACGTCGACAAGTATATTCCTGTACATTCATATTTTCCTGCAGCTTCGTGTACATGATTGATGGTCAGAAGATTGTAAGACGACGACTAGATGGTACTGGTGGGTGGGAACAGGTCCTGTTCTTTTCCACAAACATAAAAGACTTTGACGTTGCCGCTAATGGTAATTATATGTGTCACAAATTGTTTTCATCGCCATTTCCTTTTTCCTAAGCAGTGCCTAGTTCCTAGATCTGTCAAATATCATCATCTAAGACATCATCTAAGACATCATCTAAACATCTAAACATTTTTTTTAATTTTTTTTTTTTATTGTTCCCAATGTGATGAGTACAAAACATGTTGAAGCATATAGCGGAATGTGTGCACATACAAGCTAGTCGGCTCAATAGCGATATAGTACACTAAGTGCATTGAATATCAATGTTAGCTATATGTTCTTTGTTTAATAGTCATTCAGGGTTAAATTCAGGGATGAGAGGAAACCATTTGACTAAAAAGCTTTCAACATTATTATTTCTTCTGGCAATGAATGATTCAGTGGTAAATATGTCTTTCAATATCCTTAAGTAATTATCAACTTTGGAATTGTTTTTGTCAATGAGCAAGTGTAAAATATATCTTAGCAGATAAGATTATGTGGTTCAATAATTAATCCACTGTTCAAGTTTCTTCCAGAAAGTTTTGGTTTCATCACATTCCCAATATACATGGCATAGAGTTTCAACAGAATCATTACACAAAGAACATATTGTATTGTCCACCAGATTCATTCTAAAAAGTTCTTTTTTGGTATAAACAATATACATTTTTATCATTCATGGATTGTTTCCATTGTAGTATTATCAGTAATAAAGGATAGTGTCTTGTGATGACTCCGTACTGATATGGCAGTCTTCTGAGTAGAATATTGTTTTCTCATGCATGTTTGCCTCAAAGTTTACACAATCAATCTAAATTTATGTAATATAGGACACGTAGTGTTTACCGACGAATCTGGAGCCGTGTATATTTATGATCCGGTCCAACGAACATACAGACAGCTGAGGCCGCCAACCAGCGACGGCAGATGTGGTTTCACCAGTGCTATCAACCCCTGCGATTCGCTCCTCTACGTCGCAAACATAAACGATGCGTGAGTTCAATGTTCCAGTGAGTAAGTGAGTGAGCCGTTTTTAGTGGTGGAGGACACCAGAAATTGGCTTCACGCACTGTACCCATGTGGGGAATTGAGTTCGGTTGTAACACTGTGTCGATAGGAAACCGTTAATGGTTTATGATGACATATTCATTTTGCTTAGGGGCAAGGTATTTGTGTAGCAGCCTCTTTCATGATGTAACTGCTGTCGATATTCTTAGACGGAACCTCATCCTACAAACGTAGAATCCTCATGGTTATACAGGTAACAGATTAGGTATAGGGGAGTAGCTGTGAAGACGAGTATGGGTGTTTTGTTGTAAGGGACCTTGAGTTGATATTCGTGGAAAGCGGGACTGGGGGGCATTTTCCGAAAATACTGTAAAAGAAACCATGTGTCCGAAATTCGTACCAACCACAAAAAAAAAAATGATTCATGATGGATGTTGACAACATTGTGTTGTGATACTTATTTTATAATGTCTTACGTCTTTGACAAACTAAGAAGAGTGGAACAAACCGCGACAGCATGTAACTGCGACGAAGAATCTTGGAAACAAACCCCACCAGACTAGTATTGTTTTCTTGACGATAAACTTGAGGACGTACACGAGACAAGTTCGGAAAGACATGACGAGATCAAACTATGTATCACTTATCGAAATACCTGACATGTAACACGTGATGTTAAACGGAACGTTTGAGAAACTGCATCATATCAAATCTACTCGCAACAAGCTACTTTGTGAGAACCATGATACGAATTATTTGGGATATATTGTTTGTTCTCGTTTGAGAATTTTATTGAGATATATATACAATTTCCATAAATTACATATCTAGCATTGCATATTTGAAAACTTCCAATGAATCAAATTAACCAAATGAAGACTTCTCCTTTCAGGGAACTTCAGATCTTCAATACTAACACATTTCAGCGTGTTGGATCACTGACATACACCGAGTCGACTCCATCCCCATGCCCGTCTGTTGCATTTGATCCAACATTCTGGTATGAAATTGTTAAAATGAATTAGTAGCCGACGAATGTTTTGCAACAGAAACAAATTTTAAAGTGTCAGAGACCAAGTTACGGAATATTGATATATATTGAGTTATGCTTTAACAACTTTCTTCATAGGTTAACTGGTAGTTTCCATGGTATTACTGAACTGTTACTGTTATTGTAACTCGTCTATTGCCAGCATCTTTACTAAAAATTAAACAAGACGTGTACACGATTATATAAACAACTCGGAACAATGATAGAATGATTTAGATGTGTTTAGTATTAGCTTAGATACATACTCAATGCTAAAACTCTCAGTTGTAATTATGTTTATTTTCCTATTACAGCTGTGCATGAATTTGATGACGGTATGTTAATTGTTGTTCTCAGTCAAGATATTTCTTCAGTACGCGTGATTGGTTATGTTCAACTCGTGATAAATCTGCGATATTACTTATAGTAATTGTGAGTTAGTGATTGCGGTTTTACACTCCGCTACATTTGATCTAAATATATGCAAGAAACATCTGTCATATTTACAAACTTACGATATTCTCCAAGCAGCTTAAAATCTCTCTGTTATTGTCAATGTAACTTAATAAGAGCACGCTGTCTCAATGACATTTGTAAATTAATGAATAAGACACAAACCTTTCTTCAAGATTATGCCATATCTGCTTAAGCGTAAATTCTTTCAATATCACGAGTATGTTGAATGAATTCCTATCAAGTAGTGCATATAAATATAAAATAGTCATTACATTGGTAATACTATAGATACATGTACAAAAGTATTATGATATTATCAGGTGAAGTAATTCATTTGCTTATATCGATTTGTCTTGCATTTGCAGGTTCAGGTCACAACAGAAGCCAGGCCTCCCAAAAGTCAAAGCAATGGCAAAGAGTGTATGGACATTGTTTTGTCAATAAAAGTACACTTGCAACATGTTTGTCAATGTTTGCCAATAGTCAGTGTAAGATACGTCTGCAGGGAAACTCACATAGAATATTTCATAGTAATATGTATTTGTCCTTACATAATGCCAAAACATGTTTTACAATAATTACATATGTAATCAGATTATCAACACAATGCTCAACTCTGCAGCTTTAAAATTAATGCTTAAACAATGCTGAATAGTTATTTTTAAAAGTCGAGGTCAAACCAAACCAACTTCAAATGCGGAAGATTTATGATCTTTGAGCGGCCTTCGGAAGTAATTAGATGAAATAAAAATGAAAGAAATATCATTTACTTTTTACAACGATACCTTTTATTTCATGGTGTTTACAACACAGTTCACGTGGATGGCTCAAGCGGCAGTCAGAAATATTATATTACATTGAACCTAATACAGCATACCAAACACGAAACACTTCTATGCCGTAATACACTCTACATAATATAGCATACCTAACACGAAACACTTCTATGTCGTAATACACTCTACATAATATAGCATACCTAACATGAAACACATCTATGTCGTAATACACTGTAGATTATATAGCATACCTAACACGAAGCACATCTATGTCGTAATACACTGTACATAATATAGCATACCTAACACGAAACACTTCTATGTCGTAATACACTGTAGACAATATAGCATACCTAACATGAAACACTTCTATGTCGTAATACACTGTACATAATATAGCATACCTAACACGAAACACTTATATGCCGTAATACACTCTACATAATATAGCATACCTAACATGAAACACTTCTATGTCGTAATACACCGTACATAATATAGCATATCAAACAGGAAACACTTCTATGTCGTAATTCACTGTACATAATAAAGCATATCAAACACGAAACACTTCTATGTCGTAATACACTGTAGACAATATAGCATACCAAACACGAAACACTTCTATGTCGTAATACACTCTACATAATATAGCATACCTAACTGAAACAATTCTATGTCGTAATACACTGTACATAATATAGAATACCTAACACGAAACACTTCTATGTCGTAATACACTGTGCATAACGTAGCATACCTAACACTAAACTCATCGATGTCGTAATACTTTGTACATAATATAGCATACCTAACACGAAACACTTCTATGCCGTAATACACTGTACATAATATACCATACCTAACACGAAACACTTCCTCGTTGTAATACACTGAACATAAGATAGCATTCTTAACACGAAACACTTCTATGTCGTAATACACTGAACATAATATAGCATCGAAAACATGAAACTCTTTTGTGTCGTCATACACTGAACATAATATAACATACCTAGCACGAAACACTTCTGTTTTGTACAACACTGTACATAGTATGGCTTACCTAACAGGAAATGCACCTATGTCGCAATACACTTTACATAAGATAACATACCTAACACGAAACGCATCTACGTCGTAATACACTGAACATAATATAGCATCCAAAACATGAAACACTTCTATGTCGTAATACAATGAACGTGATATGACATACCTAACACGAAACACTTTTTTATCGTACTAATGAGTCATAATATAGCATACCTAACACGAAACACTGCTATGTTGTCAAACACTGTACATAATATAGCATACCTAACTAGAAGCATTTCTATGTCGTAATACAGTGTACACAATATAGCATACCTAACACGAAACAGTTCTAAGTAGTAATACACTGTACATCATATAGCATACCTAACACAAAAAACTTCTATGACGTAATACACTGAACATAATATACCATACCTAACACGAAACACATCTATCTCGTGATACACTGAACATAATATAGCATCCAAAACATGAAACACTTCTTTGTCGTCATGCAGTGAACATAATATGGCATACCTAACACGAAACAGTTCTATGTTGTAATAGACTGTACATAACATAGCATACCTAACACGAAACACTTCTATGACATAATACACTGATCATAATATAACATACCTAACACGAAACAAAGCTATTTCGTAATACACTGAACATAATATAGCATCCCAAACATGAAACACTTTTGTGTCGTCATACACTGAACATAATATAGCATACCTAACAGGAAACGCACCTATGTCGTAATACACTGTACATAAGAGAGCATACCTAACACGAAACGCATCTATGTCGTAATACACAGAACATAATATAGCATCCAAAACATGAAACACTTCTATGTCGTAATACCACGAACATAATATGGCATACCTAACACGAAACACTTTTTTATCGTAATAATCAGTCATAATATAGCATACCTAACATGAATCGCATCTATGTCGTGATACACTGAACATAATATAGGATACCTCACACGAAGCACTTCTATATCGTAATACACTGAACATAATAGAGCATACCTAACACGAAACACTTCTATGTCGTAATACACTGAACATAATATAACATACCTAGCACGTAACACTTCTATTTTGTAATACACTGTACATAATATGGCTTAACTAACAGGAAATGCACCTATGTCGTAATACACTGTACACAAGATAGCATACATAAAACGAAACACATCTATGTCGTAATACACTGTACCTGATATAGCATACCTAACACGAAACGCATCTACGTCGTAATACTGAACATAATATAGCATCGAAAACATGAAACACATCTATGTCGTAATACAATGAACGTAATATGACATACCTGACACGAAACGCTTTTTTATCGTAATAATCAGTCATAATACAGCATACCTAACACGAAACACTGTTCTGTTGTCAAAAACTGTACATAATATAGCATACCTAACCAGAAGCACTTCTATGTCGTAATACACTGAACATAATATAGCATACCTAACACGAAACAGTTCTATGCAGTAATACACTGTACATAACATAGCATACCTAACACAAAACACGTCTATGACGTAATACACAGAACATAATATAGCATACCTAACACGAAATAGTTCTATGCAGTAATACACTGTACATAACATAGCATACCTAACACAAAACACGTCTATGACGTAATACACAGAACATAATATAGCATACCTAACACGAAACACTTCTATCTCGTAATACACTGTACATAAGATAGCATACCTAACATGAAAGACATCTATGTCGTATTGCACTGAACATAATATAGCATCCAAAACATGAAACAGTTCTTTGTCGTAATACAGTGAGCATAATAAGGCATACCTAACACAAAACAGTTCTTTGTTGTAATAGACTGTACATAATATACCATACCTAACGCGAAACACTTCTATGCCGTAATACACTGAACATAATATAGCATACCTAACACGAAAGACTTCTATGTCGTAATACACTGAACATAATATAGGATACTTAACACGAAACACTTCCATGTCGTAATACACTGAACATAAGATAGCATTCCTAACACGAAACACTTCTATGTCGTAATACACTGAACATAATATCGCATACCTAACACGAAACAAAGCTATGTCGTAATACACTGAACATAATATAGCATCCGAAACATGAAACACTTTGCTGTCGTCATACACTGAACATAATATAACATACCTAACACGAAACACTTCTATGTCGTAATACACTGTACATAATATAACTTACCTAACAGGAAACGAACCTATGTCGTAATACACTGAACATAAGAGAGCATACCTAGCACGAAACGCATCTATCTCGTAATACACTGAACATAATATAGCATCCAAAACATGAAACACTTGTATGTCGTAATACCATGAACATAATATGGCATACCTAACACGAAACACTTTTTTATCGTAGTAATTAGTCATAATATAGGATAACTAACATGAAACGCATCTATGTCGTAATACACTGTACATAATAAAACATAACTAAGACGAAACATCTCTATGGCGTAATACACAGTACATAATTTAGCATGCCTAACAAGAAAAACACATCTGAGCCGTAATACACTGTACATAATGATTCATACCTAACACGAAACAATTCTATGGCGCAACAGACTGTACATAATATGGCATACCTAACACGAAACAATTCTAAGTAGTAATAGATTGTACATAACATAGCATACCTAACAGGAAAAACATCTGAGAAGTAATACATCTTACATAATAAAGCATACCTAAAAGGAAACACTTGTCTGTCTTAATAAACAGTACATAATATAGCATACCTCGCACGAAACACATCTATGCTGTAATACATTGTACATAAGATAGGATACATAACACGAAACACTTCTATGTCATAATAATCAGTACATAATATAGCATACCTAAAAGGAAACACTTCCATGTCGTAATACACTGTACATTATATAGCATACCTATCACGAAACACTTCTATGTTGTAATACACTGCACATAATATAGCATACCTAACACAAAACACTTCAATGTCGAAATACACTGTACACGTTATAGCATACCCAACAAGAAACACTTCTATGTCGTAATAATGAGTACATAACATTGCACCCCTAACACGAAACTCTTCTATGCCGTAATACACCGTACATAATATGGCTTATCTAACAGGAAATGCACTTTTGTCCTTATACACTGTACATAAGATAGCATACCTAACAAGAAACACATCTATGTCGTAATACACTGTACATAATATAGCATACATAACACGAAACGCATCTACATCGTAATACACTGAACATAATATAGCATTCAAAACATGAAACACTTCTATGTCGTAATACAATGAACATAATATGACATACCTAACACGAACACTTTTTATCGTAATAATGAGTCGTAATATAGTATACCTAACACGAAACACTGCTATGTTGTCAAACAATGTACATAATATAGCAAACCTAACTTGAAGCACTTCTATGTAGTAATACACTGTACATAACATATCACACCTAACACGAAACACTTCTATGACGTAATACACTGAACATAATATAGCATACCTAAAACGA